ATTAATTCTCGAATGTTTTTGGTTCAGTAAAATCTCAAATGCATCTTGCCAAAGGCCCTTTCCTGTATGATTTCCAAATTTGTGCAAATTTCAGGGAAAATTTAATCCATATGTTTCTGATTCATCCATATTAACTCATCGTATTATTGTTGCTTTTTTTTTTTTTTTTTTAGCAGTTTACTTCCAAGAAATTCTAGGGACGTGTAAGAAAAAAAAAATACGTATTCTGTTTTAGTCAATATTTTCTTGAACTAGCAAAGAGAAGCTGTATATCTCCAGGTATTAAAGATTACCTGAACTTCTCCCTTCCCGCCTTGAATTAGGCTTGCAGGAGTTTAGGTTCCCTTGGGATAGGAGAATGAGAGCTCTCTGCACATGTCTACCCTCAGCTGCCCCTGCAGAGCCTTGGCCGACTCTGTTCACCTCCAGGAAGGCATCCTCTGCTCCCAGCAGTGACAGGCGAACTTTCCTCCCCTGAGTCACCACTGAAAACCAAACGTTGTTCTGGTGGGGCACATCCTAGGCCTCTTGGAACAATAGAGCATTGCATTTTGTGATCCTGATGTCAAATCAGAAAAAGGCTGTTCTGTAAGTTAAACATTCAGCAGCTACTCTAATGTTGTTTATTTCCTTTTGTCTACGGCATTGGTGCGGTGGAGGGGTCACCAGGTCACAGGACAAAGGACTTGCTGATTTCTAGTGAAAGAAAATTTGTCGGGCGCCACCATGTTAACATGTAAATACCAAACACATCTTTATGCATTGGTTTCTAGTTGAAGCAATCTGGTTGGCATTTTCTCAAGGGAATTATTTAAATTTTAAATGGAACAACATCTCATTTAGATTTCTACAAATATGCGAGGGCACAGAAGTAATTTATATGTACATGCAACTCTTCACTTAAGCACCTGGGTACTTGACAATAATTAAAATACAAAGTAGACCTATTAGCTTTTCCTTTTAACTTTCCAGCTTTTTGCTGCTCCATAGTGAGGAGGGGGCATCTCTAGAGTAGATTGTCAAGTGCCTGGACCACCGCAGCTTCCCTCCTCCCACACAACGCCTGATTGCAACTCCCTCCAGAGTCTATTTCCTCCGAAAACTACACTCTGATCTTCATTTTCTGTTTGCAGAATACGTTTTTGTTTCTTAAACTTTCAGTCCCTTTTATTCCAATGGCCAGAGACTTCATGATTATTTCACTTTAATGCCAGCAGTGTAATGAAGGAACACAATAGAAGTCATGTACACAATGCAAGATGCTACAAATGAGAAATTTCCATTTCAGTAGTCACTTGTGTACAGACTAATTCTTGGCCATTCTCTCCCATCCCTACCTCCACCGTCAGAGTTGTCTTCAAAGATCTGACTTAAATCAGTAGTTCTCAAAATGCACACTCAGAAATGCAAACACTGGGTCCCCCCAACATTTGTTTAATCACAAACTCAGTTTCACAAAGACGATAGATGACACATGCCTGCTGAAGTTGGACTCGGACAGTAAAAGTTCATATGTTGGATCCAACATTTCTATTTATAAACTTGGCATTCTCATCAATAGTGTTACAATAGCCTTGACATCAAAAATCTTGAAAGTCATTTTCATTCTTCTTTTACTTTCCTTCATTTTCAGCCTCATGATGAAGACTTCCTGTTTTCCAACGAAAATACTCCTAAAACTCTAATCCTTTCTATTCTTAGCTGCAAAACCAAATCCCAAGTTTTCTCCAGTAAGCCAACAGCTATCCTGTCTGTAATCTTTTATTCGTAATTGCTGTTAAAATAATTTTCTTCGTGTGCTGATTTTATCTCTCACAAAGCTGCTTGGGAATGGTGCTGTTTTATTTTGAACCAAAATACAATGCACCTGTTTGATCTCTGAGGTCTCCACCAATCACCGTAATTAATCCTCATCCTCAAAAAAGTGCTCTCACTGGCTGGTGCCTGCTTTCTTTGGACACTGTGCTTCTCTTACGTGGGATAACTTCTCTCTCCTTTACATCACTCTACAGTCTCCTCCTACTGAAAATCCTATTTGGATTAATTGAATCAGGGCTTTAAATTTATCATTTGAAGTTTATTTTCACTCTGCTATCACTGTATTAAATTCCTTCTAATTTATATTTTCTTTCCCAACACTGTTAAGTGGGTGAAGAGTGTTTACTTGTCAGCACTTCCATTACACTCTTCAGGTTCTTGTACTCTGTAATACCTAGGCGGGGACCCAGCGTGTGGTGACTGAATAACATAGAAGTGGGTTAGATGAAATACTGAAACTCAACAGTCCAAATCTAGTTATTACTAGCCTGAGTTTAGAAATACAGCAGGCGATATAAAAGCTGCTGTCTAATAAGATTTGGATATTTATAACCAAGCATCCAGGCCACCTGTTTTTTGATGCTGTGCCATTAGCATTTAAAGCACAGTCTCTTATCATGATTTTGTCTTTCAGGACACAATTGCTGCTCAAGAAACATGAAATGGTGAAATCAGTGCACACTTCTCTATGTAGAAGTATACATTTATAAACATATATTCACTTCAAGATAGGCCTAAGTCTAAAAGCAATTCCATTAAAGTTATAAATGAAAATCACTCTTAACTTTGATTATTTCTATGGCCCCCTGAAATAAGATATCTTCTGCTTATTCTTAATGGTTTTATGATTTAGTGATATCCTGTAGAGTATTTTAATTTTAAAAAGGCAGTGAACAGATGTGGTAGAAGATCCTGGAAAGGAAAAGTGGATTAGAAAGCATCAGTAAAAATGAAAATACCATGCTAGACTTCCAAAGCAAAGCCAGCTATAATAGCATGAACAGAAAATATTAATGGCAATTTGTTTTTGGCTAGCGCCAGGGATAAAGGGACTTTACTTTTTTATTTCTTATGGTGAGTTTGGCTTTGTTGAAGCAGCATTTTGATCTTTACCATATCATTTTAAATTATATTTGGAATGTATAAAGAGAAACTTCAGACAAATTAAATTTAGCAGAATTTATTTGAGCAAAGAAAGATTTATGAATAGGGCAGCTCTCAGAATCAGGAGAGGCTCTGATAGCTCCACCTAGCAATGTGAACAGGAAGTATTTGTAGTTAGAGAAAGGAAATAGAGCACTGAAACAGCTGGATTGGCTGCAAATGCCTTATTTGGGCATGGTGTGATGAGTCATTTGCCTTATATGGACATGGTCTGATCTCTGGGCAATGTGTGATTGGCTAAACCTCAGCTGCTGTGATTGGTTGACACTCAGCTACTTGTTACAAAAATATGCTCTTTGTTACACTGGAGTTTTGTTACCTACTAAGTTAGATTGCAGTTTGCTAGTACAGAAGCTGCACTGGACCAAATTTCATTTAATTCAATAGGAGTGCTATCACTAGCAATAGTCTATATGTTCTGATAATTAAGTGTACATTTGTCCACAATTCCTTATCTGTGAATTCAGGATCTAAAACATCTATGAAAACTATTTTTATAGCCCTTAGTGGCAGAATACTACCTGATCTAAATAATTTGGTAACCAATCAAAATTGACATAAAATTTTTTGCAATTTTTATCTGGCTCGAGAATATTTGTATTGTTTGTTTTTGAGTACAGGGACAAGTTGCAGACCCCTTTACCATGTGACATAGTATACAGCTTGGATCCTCTTATCTGTAGGAAAGCAAAATTTTTCTGAAATTAAAGTCATAGATACCCTAATGATTTATTATCAGTAATTGTGGATCTAAACTCATTTTCCTCATGATTTTTATCTTGAAAAAGTTCTAAATTATGTATCATTATCTTGGATACCTAATAGTTTGTGAATGTCTCTATTATAAAGGAAACAGTGAAATTAGGTTATAACAAAGAACCACTCTGGGTACACACAAGGATTGAAAATATTTTAAAACATAGTGAAATGACAGGAGATACAATTCAGAATTTAAGAATGTGAAGAATTTCTACATTTTATTTTTAATTACCATATTGTTTTTCTGCACGAAAAACTTATATAGGTACATACAAACAGATATGTACCTATAAAATGTACACATGTATGTATTTCATCAATTTAATAGCAAATTTGGAACACAAGCAAATTGCTGTCTATCCCCAGGTCTAGTTCCCACACCACCTTCTCACCCCGTCCCACCCCGTCCAGAAGGAATCACTTTCTGCCCCTCCTTTTGCTTCCATAGCTTTATAGATATGTCTTGCAGGCCTGACCACATTTGTGTCATAGCACACTTATTTATGGAAGTGCTCATTCCTGCACCTTCTTAAGGTCACTAATTTAACCTCTTTAATTCTCCAGTCCCCCAGTAATGCTTACCATTAGTATAGACTCAATACATATATTCTAAATAATATTAAGGAAAGGTGGGAAAACACGGAGAGCCACGGCCAGGGGGAGCCATAGTCTCCTAATAAAGAACGTGGACCTTCAGATAAGATATGCAGACTTTTCCACCCATTTTCCCCTAGCAAGAGTGTGACATTGGACTGGTTCACTCTATTCATTGTCAAACATTGGTAAACTTTCATTGGTGTTTTGAAGTCATGAGGGTGCAAGTCTCAGCCCAGCTTGAACAACTTAGAGACTTCCTGAGACTCTACCTCAGATTCAAAAATTTTAAAAGGACCCAGCAATGTATCTGCATGCAGAGGCTCCAGGTTCAATTACTTGAAACAGAGGACCAGCCTGGCCCCCTCACACCTGCAGCAGCATCTCTTAGGGACCTCCTAACTGAATTCGTATGTTTCAAGTGCAAGCGGGAGGTACGCATTGCTCCGCAGCCAGTGAGAAACACACACCCCAGTCGATTTGCTGATTTGCAGCACAGCTTAAAAACAATGGACTCATCTTTCAAATTTGACCAAACTACAGAGGGAGGGAGTGCTCAGCCGGTTCCTCAGGAGGTTCATGCTGGCGCTCAGCAGCTTACGCGTGGCTCACAGATGGCTTCTGATGCTTTCTGTGTAATCCAATCATCCCGCACTACTTCCTCTCACTTAGACTCCGGGGGTAATTGAAAAGCTCGCAGTGACAATCGTCTCTTCTTGGGGATGCTGTGGGTATGAGGAATGTGACTTCCATCACCTCCTGGAAGTGGGATGTGTCCATGGCTCTCCAGATCAGAGTTGCTTCAAGCAAGGTAAAAAGAAATTATTTCCTGGAATTGCCTTTTCCTGCTGCCTGGCACTGGAGTAAAGGAACATGGCCCATCAATGGCCTCTCTGTCATGCGGCAGCCTGTCTCGCTGTGACTGGGACCGACCATGCAGAAAGTATTCTGTGGCAATGCTTGTGTGTGACGGTAGCCATAGAGCGTGCCCATGCCCAAGAGAGGAGTCTGAAACTTTGAAACAGGCTGTTCAGGAAGTACTCGAGTATTAACACCTGCACTGCTGGTATCGTTTTCTAAAATCTTGACAGTTTGTCCTCAGTCTTTATTCTTTGGCAAGGAGTGGCTTTTATTTTTGTAACTTCTAAAGGATGTGAAAAGATTTTAAAAGCAAAGCGTTGAAGTGTTTTAAGTGTGGGGTTGTTAGCCTCCCCACCCCCAGGCTAATGTTAATAATTATGTTTTATTTCAGTGTAAAAATACTCCTTTAAAAAAAATCAAAGGACATAAAACAAGGAAATACACAAAGCCTCAAAGCAGCTGTGTAAATTCACAGACCTTGGGCCTACCAAGAGCTAGGCTTAAGGAAAAGACAACTCTGGAAAACCAGATTTTTACTTAAAAATTAAATTATGATTACCAGCTAGTGCTACATTTGTTTTAGTAAAATATCAACACTGCGTGTATTTCCTCAAGCTTTTTCTGCTCCTTGCCATCATTACCACATACATCATCAGTAAGAAATGTTGAGTATAGCGACAGCTATGAAAAATTTTCTAGGTCAGTGAAAACATTTTTTTCAGGGAAAATATTTTTAAGAGGATTTTGTAATTGTTCATAATTTATACATAGCTCTGGTAGGGAAGGAGCAATAACAACTTTTCCTGGGGAGATAAAAATTACAATCCTTTCTCTTAAGTAGCTTACACAAAGAATGGGGACTCTATATTTAGTCTGGGTTTACACACACACACACACACACACAGGGTGGGAGAGAGGCAGGGAGAGAGAGAGAGAGAGATAGTCCTGGAGCATAAACATCCAAATAGTCACTATAGTTTTTCACTATGTTAGAATGCCAGAGTTTTACATGTGCAGTCACAGACCTAGAACAGTAAGCCAATAGTGAGTAAGATAAAAATAATTTGGTTGGTGACAATCTGAATTCACATGACACATCCCTGTATGAGTTAGTTTTTCTTAAGTCTGCTCATTGTCAATTTTGTCAGCACGAGAGTTCCTGATGTGATCATAAATTGATAGCGAGCAAGACCTCATCCCAAGATAACTCTGAGACTCAACACACTTTTACTGAGTGTATGCCCTGCATGGGCTGAAAACCTCCCATCCCTGCAGTTCCAGGGGGAGAAAGCTGACTCGAGGGAAAGAATCATGGCCAAAGCGATTTAATTAATTTGTTGTCTGGGGAAACAGCACAAGAACTGGGAAGAAAGCCCAGGTATGAGGACTAAGTTATTACTCAGAATACAATACTTTGTTGTACAGAATAGTATGTGTTCTACACCCACCCTTTTTTTTTTTTTGTTTTTTGTACCAGCAGTTGAACTCAGGACCTTGCATTTGCCAGGTAGGTGCTTATGCCACTGAGCTATACCCCCAGCCCTAGGCTTTTCCTGCCTGTATTAAACTAGTGTAAACTTTCCCCTGAAAAGCAAGTGTTGCCCACGAAGGTCCTGGTGGCTCCATGCCTTGAATTGCCGTGGAGTTGCTCACCGGCACTGCAGAGCTCTGTTCACCCGAGCTGGATGCTGTGCTGGGACTGAGCAGGCGAGAGGGCCTCGTGGCATGATTTCTCTCCGAACTGTCATGGTCCCGAAGCAGGCTTTCCCGCTGGAGGAAATGGAGTGAGGAGGATCATCTGTTGAGCTTTCAGCCTTTGGTGGCAGGAATTTTACATTTTGTTTTTCTGAGTGGTATTGGCGATTGACCCTAGAACCTTTGCATCGATTGAGTTACGTCCCTGGATCCTTTTTGAATTTTTAAATTTGAGGTAAAAGTTTTCACTAAGTCTTTAAGTTGTTCAAGCTTGCAATCATCATGACCTCAAAACCCCAGTGAAAGTTTACCAATTTTGACAATGACTCAAGCGGAATTGTCCAGTGTCACACTCTGGGTAGGGAGGAATAGGGTGAAAAGCCCTGTGGATATTGTCTGAATGTCCACTTTACTAGTAAACCATGGCTCTCCCTAGTCAGGGCTCTCATTACTTTTTTGCACCTTCCCTCAAAACATATTTATTGAGTCTCTACCAAGGCCAAGCATTATTTGTGGGGTCAGAAAATTAAAGAGGATTAAATTAGTGACTCCGAGAAGGTGCAGGAATGAGCACTTCCATAAATAAGTGTGCTATGACACAAATGTGGTCAGGCCTGCAAGATGTATCCATAAAGCTATGGAAGCAAAAGGAGGGGCAGAAAGTGATTCCTTCTGGATGGGGTGGGACGGGGTGAGAAGGTGGTGTGGGAACTAGGCCTGAAGGATAGACAGCAATTTGCTTATGAGAATGAAGCTATGACGGATAACAGGAACATTCTGCTTCGCTAAGTCACATACGGGCTTGCACTTTTCACAGAGTCAGTGGAGAAGGACGTCATAAAAGGAGCAGGCTCAAACTTTTTTTTTTTTTTTTTTGTCTTTTTCTTTTTTACTGGTACCAGGGATCAAACTCACGACCACACACTTGCAAGGCAGGCACTTATGCCACTGAGCTAAATCCCTAGACGCCAGGCTCAGACTTAAAGGGGAGTTATCTTCAGTTCTCAATGATCATATTTCCCCAAATGGTGCTTAAATTGTTTCTTTTTTAAAAAAAATTATTTCAAGCACTTTTATTAAATGCATTCTAAAAACTAAGATTATAAAAAAAACCTGTATGCATAGTGTTTAAAAATATTTATCAACTGAAAATGTTGTTTCTGGGTATAAAAATAGAAGAAAAATCCTGTTTTTATGAAACAAAAATTGCACATAGCACAAAAATAAAGATCAATCTTTCATGTGACTATAAATATAAAAATATACAAAATATACTAACAAACAGAATCCAATGGTTTATCATAAAAGGAAAACACCATGGATATTTATTCCAAAAAATGGAAGAATGGCTCAATGTTATTCACTAACACAATTTATTATGTGCATAAACTTAGAAAATGACATCATCATCTTCATTTAGGTGCTAAAATGGTCTTAAACTAAAATAGATCAACCATTCCTAATTGAAACAGTAATAAAATAACTGATTTCTTTCTTTCTTAGTGCAAATACATAAATAACTATATGCACACACGCACATGCATAAGAATGCACACACATACACACACTATAGCTCTGAGGCTGGTGTTTTACTTTAGTGGAGAAACTGGAGACACTTAGAGAAAGGCAAAGTTATCCTTGAAACCCACCACTACTTAAAAATATATTGGAGATCTTAGTCAATTCAGTCAAACCAAACCAAACGAACAAGTGCTGTAAGATCAGAAATAGAAGTGAAACTATCTCTATTCATAGATCATTTTGTATCTATTTGGAAAATCAATGAAAACACATAACACAGACAAAAAATGTTCCAATAAGATAATAGGCCATTAAAATATACAACTTAAAAGCTTTTCTCTGCACAAATAATGTAAATAAAGATAAACTTTAAATCAGAAGCTTTACTCTGCACAAATAATAGCTACTTAGATGATGTAAAGAAAGATAAAACTTCAGTTACATTAGTAGCAAAAAGAGAAATTATTTAATAGTAAACTTGGCAGGAAGTGTATAAAATCTATATGAGGAAAAGTTAAAATACTCCTAAAAATATAATAGTTGAATACGTTTGGAGATTTTTCTTGTGTTTGGACAGCATGAGCAAACACTATAAAGCTATCACTTATTCCTATGTGAATAATAAATTTTGCATAATCATCATAAATAACTAAATTGTTTTATGAAGCTCATCAAGTATATTTTAGAGTTTATACAGAAAAATAAACATTGAAATGCTATAAGGGTCCTAAAACAAAGAAATGAGGAGGAACCAGCTTTATCAGATATTTTTATGCAGCTTTATGAAGGCATAAATGCAAAAATTATTGATATTTTATGCATGCAATTTGATGAGCATACACAGATGCCGACACCTATGAAGCCATCATTGTAAGTGATGAGGCATATTCATCATTGCTTGCTTTTTGTGTGTGCATGTGTGCTAAGGGTACTTAAGCTGAGCTCTGCTCTCCTAACAAATGCCTTCCCAGACAGTAGAGTGCACTGTAAAGCTTGTATGATCAACGCAGCGTTATACTGCTGCATGAACACCTAGATATGGGAGAGAAAAGAAAGCTCACAGGTGGCAAAGTGCAGGATCTCACTGGAACGTCAGGGTTAGGAGAAAGCAAGGATATGATGGGCCATATAAAAAGAACACTGATGTCATCTTGTAGGTTTTCTGACCAGTCAAATTTGGGATAATTTCACAATGCAAAGGATGATGGTTTTTGTTTTATTTTTCATGGTAGTGGGGATCAAATCTGGGTTTCCCACATCCTGGATAAGCACTCACCTGCTGAGCTCACTCCTCTGCCCCCAAATCATGAGGAGAATAGATTATAACACATAGAAAATAAAGATGTTATCAAAAGTAAGTGTAAAAACACAGGACACTCAGTCCAAGGATGAGTGAGGAAGTCTACAGAAGAATGTTTACTAAAATTTAGGGGGGAAATGAAATGATAAAATCATCATTTTACCTTGTGGGTATAAATGCTGACTTAGACAAAACATATTAATAAATACTAAAAGCCCTGGGCAAGATGTTTTAGGGAAACGGTACTCACATAATCTCAAATACCACTCCAGCGTTAGTAGTTACAAAGGATAAACAGTATAATTAGCATAGTTAAAAACCAGTATATAAGATAGATCTGGCAGATATCACCCTGACTCAGTGATTGAATTGACCATCAATAGCTGGGCATGGTAGCACAAGCCTGTAGTCCCAGCACTCTGGGACGCTGAGGT